AATATAATTTTATTTTTTTCATTATAATTTAATAGAGGCTATATCAGGGGTGGGCAAACTACGGCCCGCGGGCCACATCTGGCCCGTTGGTCTTTTTAATCCGGCCCGCCGAAGATTGGTACAGAATTAAGGTTTGATGTGAATGATTGAATGATTGCATTCATTTGATTTTGACTTGTAATGACAGGCATTTCGACACCAGGTGGTGGCCCGTCTGTCAAATTTTAAAAGTCAATGAGGCCCCCGAGCCAAAAAGTTTGCCCACCCCTGGGCTATATGCTGAACCTCACATAATAGATGGTAAATTATTTTACAAATGTATTTTAATTCTGTCTTAAGTTTTATTTTGTTTATTATCTATACTGGTCTATGACAGCAATTAAATTGAATTGGAATATATGACATTTTATTAACGGTTAGCCACCCAAAGACCAAACATAAATCATAAGCCTGATTTACAAACCAGAATGGTAGGATTTACAGATACGTCATGAACCGAACCCAAACCAAATAACATTACAGGTAGCCCTCAACTTATGACCACAATTGAGCCCAGAATTTCCATTACTAAGTCAGACAGTTGTTAAGGGAATCACTGCAGTTAATTTTTAGCAACATGGTTATTAAGTGAATCTGGCTTCTCCGTTGACTTTATTTGTCAGAAGGTCACAAAAAACCGAGGGACACTACAACCATCATAAATACATGCCAGTTGCTTGGATATTCAACTTTTGATCGCATGACTCTGGGGATGCTGCAATAGTTATGTGAAAAATGGACATAAATCACTTTTTTCAGTTGTGAACTTCAAACACTCACTAAACAAAATGGTGGTAAGTTGAGGACTACCTATATAGCATGGTGTGGTCATTTATTCAGCCAGAAGGTTAATATGGAAGTGCTGTTGAATTATTCTGCAGAAAGTATGACATTTACTGGGGAAGTGTTTTATACAACTCATCCCGCACTTCAAAGGGACACCCATGAAAACATTTCACAGTTTCAAATATATTTTCACAGCAGGATCAGTGAGCGAAAGACATCGAATATGCTTAGAATCCCATTCCAATGATGAAGCTGAACACATAAAGATCTGAAATAGAATTTCTTCTTTCCTCTCACTTTTTTACCACTTTGTGGGGGTCGAGGGTGAAATGGAACTGACGTGTTTAAGCTTAAGCTTAAATACAGGGTCCCCAAAGAAGCTTTTCCAAGGGCAACTGGACTTTCTTGGGGGTTTTTCCTTGAAAACATTTTACTTTTCATCCAAGAAGTTCCTTCAGTTCTAACTGACAGATAAAAGAAGGACTTATATTCTTTGCAGTTGTCTGGGTGTTAGAATTCTGAAGGTCCAGATGACTGCAAAGTATATAAATCCTTTCATTCCATCAGTCAGTTGGAACCGAAGAAGCTTCTAGGATGAGAAGTGAAACATTTTCAAGGGAAAAAAAAACAAGAAAATCCAGTTGTCTTTTGAGAAGCATCTTTGAGACAACCATGACCTGGATGATTGAGAACCTCCACAGACACTTAAATAGAGAGAAATAGAAGTCTGCCATTTTCTGCAAAATATCCAGTTTCTAGTCCTGATGACTAAGAGGTGTGTGGGCGATGGCAACTGAAAACCCAGAAACCTGAAATGTGGTTTTGAATCACAATTTCCAGAATGAAAAGGCCTGGATTTCATTTTCCCAGGCCAGTTTTTTCTCAACCTTGGCAACTTCCAGATGGGTGGACTTCAACTCCCAGAATTCCTCAGCCAGCCAATGTCACCAAAGATGAGAAACGCCGCTCTAGGCAGATTCATGACTTGCTCAACCTGATCAGGGGGACAAGCCAGAAGCTGAGGAACACAGCTAGTTTTCACTTACGACCAGAACTGGGACCAGAATTTCTGTTGCTAAGCAAGGCAGTCCTTAAGGAAGTCGCTCCCATTTTATTATCTTTGTTACCATGGTTGTTAAGTGAATCACTGCAGTTGTTAAGTGCACCACCTGGTCATTAAGCAAATCTGGCTTCCTTCATTGACTGCGCTTGTCAGAAGATGGCTGGTGATCACATGAATGCAGCAACCATCGAAAATACATGCCAGTTGCCATGTGCCAAAGTTTGATTACATGACTATGGGGATGCTGCAACAGTCATAAGTGTGGGGACTAGTCATAAGTTACTTTTTAAAATGACATTGCAATGTCAAATGGTCACTAAATGAATGGTTGTAAGTTGCAGACCTCCTATACACTGTGTAAAATAACATCACTGCTACAAAGTAACTCTGAACCAGTTTGAAACCAGATTTCAACCAGACCCATGGGTTGTGTTCCCATAACACAGTGGCTAGTTTTGAGAGCTGATTCAATTTTTAGTTGGTGCTATGGGGGCTGATTGAAACTCAAGTATAGCACTAGCAGTAGCAATTAAACTTATATACCGCTTTACAGTGCTTTACAGCCCTCTGTAAGTGGTTTGCAGAGTCAGCCTTTTGCCCCCAACAGTCTGGCTCCTCATTTTACCCACCTCAGAAGGATGGAAGGCTGAGTCAACCTTAAGCCAGTGAGGATCAAACTGCTGGCCATGGGCAGAGTTTGCCTGCAACACTGCTTTTTAACTACTGTACCACCAGGACCAAGGAAAGAAGAAGGGGAGAAATAGCAACAGCACGTAGACTTATATACCACTTCACAGTGCTTTACAGCTCTCTCTAAGTGGTTTACAGAGTCAGCCTTTTGCCCCCCAACAAATTTGGGTCCTCATTTTACCAACCTCGGAAGGATGGAAGGCTGAGTCCACCTGGAGCTGGTGAGACTCGAACTGCCCAACTGCTGACATCCAGCAATCAACAACAGAAGTAGCCTGCAGTACTGCATTCTAACCACTGTGCCGCCATGGCTCTTGTATAGGTAATCCTTGACTTACAACCATTCGTTTAGTGACCATTTGAAGTTACAGCAGTACTGAAAAAAATATTTTGTGACTTATTTTTCACATTTATGTCCATTGCAACATCCCCACAGGCATGGGATCAAAATTCAGACAGTTAGCAACTGGCTGATATTTATGATAATTGCAGTGTCCTGGGGTCAAAGGTTTTGCAACCTTTTGATAAGCGAAGTCAGATTCACTTAACAACCCTGCTACTAACTTTACAATTGCAGGGATTCATTTAACTACTATGTCAAGAAAGGTTGCAAAATGGAGCAAAACTCAACAACTATCTTGCTTACCAACAGAGATTTTGGGTTCATCATTCATCGTGTATAACTCAAGCTGCTTCCACAGGTCTTTTAAGAAGAAGGGCGGGGGGGATTGGCAGCTCTGCAGTTCCGTAGGAGCTACTGGGATTTGGGGCCTATGCTTAAACAAATATCTACATCATGAAATAAAAGTGTGGTTGGAAGGTATAAGCAATCTCTTTTTTATTCCAAATCCTACAGCGGTTGAGAGAAGGATAGTGATGAAATGGCACTTGTTGTCCTTAGTATTTCAGGTGTGGGTTTGAAGAGCTTCTGAGAGACTGGACCATCAATTGCACTAGTTTTTAAGATGTAGCAAAATCTTGTTTAAATTCCTCCAGTCAAACTCAAATCCTACATGACAGGCCCACATAGGGTTTTTTGGCAACTGTGCATGGGTTTGTCGTATCCTTTTTTCTGGAAAGTTTCTTTACTTTCCTAGCCTATAAGGAATGGGATTTCCAGGTGAGTAAGCTTCCCATCCAAGTGTTCAAACAGGTCCAGTCCTTCTGAACTCCAGGTGTCCTAGATGCTGCTGACAGCTGAGCAACCATCATAGACGTTGAATTGGGTAGTCCAATTGACTTTAAGGGAGATGACATTCGGGGTAAGACTTTCTACATTGAGACCATGAGTATGGGTGCTCAACTATTAAGGAATATTGTTGGGCGGGGCAACAGGCTGATTCTGAAAACCATTTAGAGAGGGCTGTAAAAGCACTGTGAAGCAGTATAGAAGTCTAAGTGGTTAACCGCACCAAACTTGATTGCAGGAAATACGACTTCAGGAACAGAGCGGTCAATGTCTGGATTACTCTACCTGACTCTGAGGTTTCTTCCCCCAATCCCAAAAACTTTAACCTTAAACTGTCTACTATTGACCTCACCCCTTTCCTAAGAGGTCTGTAAGGGCCGTGCATAACCGCACCAATGTGCCTACCGTCCCTGTCCTATTGTTTCTTTTATTTTTCTTATATATACCCATGTATTCATAACTATGTTTATAATACCTATTATCTTGTAAGCAATTGACTAATCAAATAAATAAATAGATAGATAAATAAATAGATAGATAAATAGATAGATAGATAGATAGATAGATAGATAGATAGATAGATAGATAGATGATAGATAGATAGATAGATAGATAGATGATAGATAGATAGATAGATAGATAGATAGATAGATAGATAGATAGATAGATGATAGATAGATAGATAAATAGATAGATAGAT